GGCAACACGTCGAAACATTGCATAAAACTTTAACCAGTGATTGTTGTTCCATAAAGCTGTGTCTATATATCTCTCCCTTAGTTTAAATATTTATTATTACGTAGGTGATTGTCAGAAGGGATATAAACGTACCAGTGGAACCAACTGTGAGATATGTCCTGTTGGTTCGTACCAAGACAAGGTTCACCAGACGGAATGTATATCTTGTGGTGGAAGTAGTTATAGAACCGATCAGGAAGGTTCCAAATCTAAAACAGATTGCAAATGTGAGTTGTTTTCATTTAAGCTACACTTATATTGAATTATAATAATGATATTGAAAAATTCTCACTGTTAAAATAGTGTTCAATACATCAATTATAGAGCGATATAGAAATACCACTATTAAAATAGTGTTCAATACATCAATTGTAGAGTGATATAGAAATACCACTATTAAAATAGTGTTCAATACATCAATTGTAGAGCGATATAGAAATACCACTATTAAAATAGTGCTCAATACATCAATTATAGAGTGATATAGAAATACCACTATTAAAATAGTGTTCAATACATCAATTGTAGAGCGATATAGAAATACCACTATTAAAATAGTGCTCAATACATCAATTATAGATTGATATAGAAATACCACTGTTAAAATAGTGCTCAATACATCAATTGTAGAGCGATATAGAAATACCACTGTTAAAATAGTGTTCAATACATCAATTGTAGAGCGATATAGAAATACCACTGTTAAAATAGTGCTCAATACATCAATTATAGAGTGATATAGAAATACCACTGTTAAAATAGTGTTCAATACATCAATTATAGAGCGATATAGAAATACCACTATTAAAATAGTGCTCATTACATCAATTGTAGAATGATATAGAAATATTAAAACAGAACTTGAAAAAACATGTTACTCAGAGTTTCACACTATGCGATCTTCAGAAAACTAACCTATATTAAATAATAACACTAAGATATATGGATCCGATCTACTATTCTAAATTTATTCTTGTGCCCGCAGCATTAAAAGTAGCTCGGTTGGTGCTTCTTTTTTTAATTGTACTCTGATAAATAGGAAAAAGGAAATAAAACGCCAATTGTATTTGCAAGTCTTCAGTAGCTCAGTTGGTATATCACATAAAATTAAATTTTCGTCTTATTTATTCCAAATAAAATTCAAATTTTGTTTTGTTTTCCAGTTTTCTGTCCAGACGGAGAAGAACAGTTGGATAAAAATGCCACAGTTTGTACCAAATGTGGAATTGGTTTCCATAGAAACAGTTCTGTGTATCCATATCAAATTTGCCAACCATGTCCAGGCAATTTTAAAACACCTAAAGAGGGAGCTGTTTCTGACACCGAATGCACCATCTGTAAGTAGGACCCTTTCTTAACATCAGATGTAAATTAGAATTAAAAAAAACCTGACAAGACTTCATCTCTTTGCAGACACATGTTTCAGATATACAATCCTCAGCAGGACAGCTAGTTTTTTTTCCATATTAAGGTCTTTACATTATGAACATTGTAAACTAATGCACAGAACAGGTTTAAATGTTGACTGTCTAAATTGGCTGAGTTTATATCTTGGCTGAGTTCTTATCTTGGCTGAGTTCTTATCTTGGCTGAGTTCTTATCGAGGCTGAGTTCTTATCTTGGCTGAGTTCTTATCTTGGCTGAGTTCTTATCTTGGCTGAGTTCTTATCTTGGCTGAGTTCTTATCGAGGCTGAGTTCTTATCTTGGCTGAGTTCTTATCTTGGCTGAGTTCTTATCTTGGCTGAGTTCTTATCTTGGCTGAGTTCTTATCGAGGCTTATCTGGTATGTGTCTCAAATATACAGTAGAGGGTTCTTAAATGTTTTTGTCGATGTTGATGCCATCTTGAATCTCAAACAAATGATACCAAAGCGCAGTGAGCCACGATTTGGTAGACTTTGATAAGTGCTTTTGTTTATATAAATGCCCACTTTGATCTGTGCCATTATGATTTGCTTAAATAAAAACGCCTTATGCATACTAACATATTTGCCATTGTGTTGATTGTTTTGCTGTATTTTTTAGTTAAATGTCCAGCAGGCAAATATCCAGTCATGGATAAATGTGAACCTTGTCCCTTGGGCGAGTTCCAACCGGAGGCTGAGAAAGAAAAATGTATTAAATGTACTGGAGATCTGAGCACCAGAAATAAAGGATCTACCAATGAATCCCAGTGTGAAAGTAAGTAGGAAC